TGTAAGTGACCCGGAGATGACTGCAAACAGTTGGCAGGCTGTGCATACATTATGTGCAAATCCTGTGTATTTTGCAAAAGAGACTGGAGTTTTTGCAGATTCTGGCATTTGTGGGGGATTCTGGAATCAACTGCCTCGGACCCTGAGGGATGACTAAAATATACAAAGAGAATTAACACTGGGTATGTATGTTTAAAGTACTTTCATTTTATCAAACATTTTATGCTATTTAAAAAAGGCATAGGGACTGCGGAGATGGCTCAGTGGTATAAGCGCCCCCCTGGCAAGCACAAGGGCCTGACTTCAATCCCCAGTTCTGCTAAAAAAGGCATATGTGCATATTTAATAACTGAAATCTACCACTGTCATCTATTCTATTTAATAAACATTTATTTTCCCAGGACAATGGAAACAGTGCATAGGCTCGTCTCTGATGCAGTCAAAGCCTTCAAATCCTTAAGTGTCCCTTCCTGAAGTCTCTTGCCCTAGGGCCTATTCACAGACGAAATAGTGCCTCCGCTCAGTTTATCTGTGCAAGTGCCAAGGGGTGTGGATGCTCACAATGCTGATGGGGGTTGGGTGGAAAATACTGATCAGGATTTTTAGCCTCAAAATCCCAGTTCTGCTTGCTACTCTTTGTTCTTACAGGCCCAGGGTGGCAAAGAAACAGAAAATGATAGTGAGAAAAATGGAAAGCAATCCCAAACTGTTTCAGCCAGTGAATGGATAGACTGGTACAGCCATGAACTATCAGCAATAAAAGCAAATTGTCAATAACCCAGCAATATGAGTCTTGGAAGCCACTGCCAAGGGAGGAAAGCTTCACCAAAACTCTCCATACAATTGGATTCCACTTACGTGACATCCAGGGAAAGGCAATCAAAGGTTTGGGGGTGGGGAGTACTGGCTACCTTGGCACAAATCTGAGAACTTATTGACATGAGGAAATGGTTGTGTGTTTATAGCAGGGCTTGTGACTATATGCATGTGTTCTAACTCATATCTATACCAGAGAGTAAACCTTGCTGTAGCCAAATCTGAAAAACCAATGTAAGGGTATCGGTTTTTTCTGGGGTGAAGTACTGACTAGGAAGAACTTGGTGGTTTTAGTCTGTATTTTGAGCTTTGTGCTGACTGAACAGATTTACTAGCTTGTAAAAAGATGGATATACATACACTTATTCACACGTTACATGTTGTCTTATTTTTCTTGTTTCTGAGACAAAATACCTGATACCCAAAGTTAAGGGAGGACAGTTTATTTGGCTCATGGTTTGTAGAAGTTTCAGTTGATAGTCAGCTGGCTCCAAGGCAGGGTGGGATGGCAGACGGGCATTGTACAGGAGAAACAGCTCATGGTGGGCAGAAGGTGGCAAAGCAAGGGACAAGACAAGCCTCTTTCTGTCCCTCATATTGTATTCAGGCTACTGGGATTAGGGTGGTACCAAACCAATCAGGGGGTTGATTCCGTAATCACCCACACTCAATCCTAACAACATACCATAAATTGATCATACATCTAGATCTGACTATCTCTGAAAAAGCCCCACCTGTGACCGCATGAGGTGGTGAGAGGGGGGCACTTAGACATAAGCCATAATGTATATTCCATACTTCAATAAAAAGTAGAACAGAAACTCTTAACCTCAACCCTTCTCTGGGGGCATTCTTTCCCCAATTGTTCTATCTGCTAACTACAACGATCAGTGAGGCACCATGACAGCATGGGCAAACCTATGGGCCACATATTACACAAAGCTCCAAAGGTTCATCACTGTACTAGGAAAATCACAGTGTGAAACTTCCTGGTGGTACCAGTCCCCAAGTAACTATTTTTCCCTCTCAAAATAGTTACTTGATTCTTTTTCACTATGTTGTTCAGTAGATAGGGTTCATTATTTTGCCAGCTCTTAGCCATATTTATTTTTTTCTTAGCCATATTTAAAGAGGAATGGAAAGAACTGAGGTGGAAAGTCATTGAGAAAATAGCAGGCAGTCAAACTGAATGACAGAAACTTTGAGCGACTTATTATTTTTTCCTCTGTTGTCTTAGTCCTGTTATAGACTCTCAACAATTAGTGTTTCAGAGAACTGCTAGAGACTGCTGGGTGAAGAACTTATACACTAGAGCAGTTTATGAAGCCGAGAGGTCTTCCAGTTCCATGTTTGGAGTTAAGGTGGGTGACAATTCACGGCAACAGCTCACAACATATAACCAATAGGGATCTTCAGGATAAGAAATTAGTAAACTGTGATTAGAGGGGCCGAACTGTAAATAATTTCATAAAGTCTACAGAAGGGAGTCCTCTACCTGCCAGGAAGAATGGTGAAACTTATTCTCAGTGTGGCTACCAAACATAAATACATTCCAGAGTCAGATGAATGGGTATTTAATGTCAAGTATCAAAAGATGTGACTGGTATTTTGTACACACCACTTAAACCTTGTAACAATTCTTTTTTTTTTCGGAACCAGGGATTGAACTCAGGCCCTTGCGCTTGCCAGCGAAGCGCTTATTCCACTGAGCCATCTTCCCGGCCCCCTTCCTTGTAACAATTCTGCAGTGCATTCAAATTTAATTTTAACTACCAGGAAAGTACGGATAAGCACGATTCCAGGTTTCTCCCTCCAAAGGAAAAAGGAATCAATTCTTGGTGTATACTAATGCTAGTCCCCAGCTTAATCTCACTGCCCTTCAAGATGTCTTCATTTTAGCGAAGTACACAGCAAGGATGAGGTGACCTGGTCAAGGTTATGCAACAGCAAAGTGGCAGAGCTGTCATTCAGACCTGGTTGATTCTACAGCCCAGTCTTATAAAACATTGCTGCCCAAGTCAGCAGTCAACACCAAATGTTTTTCTGATATATTTCAAAATGAAAATTCCTGAATGAAGTATCATAAACTTTGACTACTTTTTCTTCAGTAATTCAAGTCCCTGGGATTAAATAGCCCATCATTTATTGGGGAGCCACAAGAAGTCACAGAACAGGAATGCAGAGAGAAACATGTAGCTACATTTTGAGGTGTTTTTCTGCCAAATTAAGGACATTAAGATGCATATAAAAACATGAAGTATTTCATAAGCATATAAAAATTGTACTCTTTAATTTCCTGTGCATCAGAGTAGTGGACATTTTTCCTAATGCATATTGTTTCAATTATGGTCCTAAAGAGATGCTTTTCTTGTACATTACTAAGACAGTGCCAGGCTGAGTTGTTTCCCAGTCTTTTTTTTTTTTTTGTACCAGGGATTGAACTCAGGACCTTACGTTTGCCAGGCAGGTGTTCATGCCATTGAGGTATCTCCCTAGCCCCTAGTCTTTTCAACTGTGTTAAGAAGGACTCACTCGGAGTCTGTCCTAATTGTGTGACTAGGCGAGGGCCTGTACCTAAATCTTCTTTGTGAATAGAAGGTATGGTGATTTAGGTCATATACCTTGCACACGAACAGCTGAAAATGAGGGAGTGGAGTGTTTGGAGAATGTGCGCTTGGATCTGAACACCTGTGTTCAGAGCCTAGGATCTGAACACAGGGTATCACCATGGACTAAGTCATCTCAGGCAAGGTATTACGCCTTGGAGCACAGCTGGTACCAACTCACTCTATTATTCAAAACTACGCTATCACACACAGTGACATATTCAGCAATTCCTAATTTCATTAATAACTATCATTTAGAACACAAAAATATTTTCTTACCCAAGAAAAATCACTTGATAAAGATACTCAAGCTTGGTGTGGTGGTATACACCTATAAGCTAAGCAGTCCGTGAGGGTGAGGTAGGAGGATCACAAGTTTTGAGTCTAGCCTATGCAACTTAATGAGAACATATGTCAAAATACAAACCAAAAAAGGGGTGGAGATAGTGTGATGTAGCTCACTATAAAGGTCCTGGATTCAATACCCAGTTTAAAAAAAAAAAACAAAGAAATAAACTGCCCCAAAAATCCAAAAAGCAATGTACCACAGATAACACATAAACAGAATCATTTTATATTTTGTTAATATTTACAACACATGACTATTTGATAAATACTTCAAAATACCTCGTAAGGCAATTTTTGGAGCACTTGAGATTTTGCAATTCTCTTCTAGGGTTTACACTTGGTAACAATCTGCTACATTTACTGTGAGAGCTATAATACAATGCAAAGTGGTTACTGAATTCAGGCTATAAATTATATAATGTCCCAAACCGTTTCAAGAAAACATTAGCTTGCAAAATAATTTTTCTTTCAAAAATTCAAGACACATTTAACATGGATTTTACAATAAAGTTTATTAGCTGTTCTCCTCTTTCTCATAAATGGAATGGATAATGTTCATTATTCTTTACAAACCAGTATTCATTTAAGAAATTTTAATGAGGAGGTTATTCAAAAAACCACATATTTAATAAACAACTCCAAAGAGCAATGAGAAGCCAAATGATATTATTAATTAAAAGGACCAGAGAAATTATTTTCTGAACTCATTTCTACCTTTTACTAAAATTTCTTAAAATTGCTCACCATGAAGATCTGTGCAAGCCTAGTGCAGAGCAGCTACACAACATGAGGGCAGCTGAGGGGAAAACTTGCACAGAAAAGGGGGCTTTCGCCCAACTTCTCTTAATGAAAGGAGAAGTAGGAGGAAAGACAGAGGACCAAAATCAAACCCAAGGACAAGAACAATAATGACAAAAAAGTCAAGAACCTCGTGAGAAATTCTATTGAAAAGAGGAGAACATGCTCATTCTTCTACTTGCAATCTAATGATCCGAGAGGTTTCTCCTCACAACCACCATACCCCCTGCCCTGTGTTCAGTTCACAGATTAAAGACGATCTCATCAATTAATATTTAATTTAAAAACTAAACAAAAATGAGTAGGTGACAAAAGAAAAAATATATATTTTAAATATATATGTTTGTGTGTATGCAACTATGTAAAGAAAATAATTCCATAGTTACAGAGTTTAAAGAAAGTTATATATATATATTTATATATATATTTTATTATAACAAAATAGGCAGTTATTGTGGGTAAAATATTCATTAAAATCTGACCCCTAAGAATACATTTAAAATTTTAGGCTATGAATTGGACTCCTTTTCCACTGGCATGATGATTTCTACATCTCCACTGCCATGTCTCTTCGGTTTGCATTTATGCGTATAAAAATGTTCTCAACCCTCAGTGTAAAAGGTGAGCTCCTACCACGTCAACATGATCTTAGTTCAGGAAATGAGATGATCAGTATGTATGAACAACTTCTGTGAGACACTATAAACAGTGTTGCACAAATAGATTAAAAACATCTGAACACTGCTGTTTCTAACTAATGTATGGGAGTGGAAAATCTCAAACAATGAAAGACTTAAAACCTATGAAAAATGAATATCCTTGTGAAATTATGAAAGAACAGACATTAATTTTGAAATAGAAGAAAATTTTCTTACTTTTGTCTATAATGAAGTAATTCCTTTGATACAGAAGTCAATTGGGAAAAGGACTTGAGAGCTAACACACTGGCCAAACCATGCTATTAAAGTTAAGCGTGCATAATTGCTCAAAGTCTACTAAATCACTGGTTAAAACCACTTTTCTTTCATTTGTACTAAAATTTCAAAAGGATGTATATAAAGCTATTCTGAAAATCTCTTAAAAGTTACTTTCCCTTAAACATTAAGGAATTTTACCACAATTTCTGCATCTCCCCAGACCCTTAACAGCTGGTCAGGCCATCTATCTTCAGTTCAGGAAAATGGCCACAAACTATAGTGATGTGGAATAATACAGATGATATACTGTGAAGGAGACAGTAATGTCAAAAATAAGCACAAGTGCAGACCATGATGTGTGAGAGATGATTCAATGTGAAAGGAGTACTGAAAACAGACTCTAAAAGGAAAGAGTCAAGAAGTATCAAAGAAAACAAGACTGTGGAAAAGAGAAATAGAGAAACACAAGTCCTCATAACTTTTCTTTTGCTGGAACCCAGATGTAAGGACCAGACTGCTCTTCTATGATTTGCTTCACTTGGTTGTAAATGTCTTCCAGCGTATCGCCCTGGACAATAGCTGTAAGAGAAAGAAAACCAGAAACCTCTATTAATCGTCTATCACTGCAAGCAATTATTAGTGAAGTAGCAGATGCTGAAACAACAGAGTTACTCATCTTGGAAGAGTTACCATTTATCCATGGTTTGCTTAGTAACATTAATTTTACTATTTGGGTAATGAATAAAATTTTATTTTAAAAATATAAAAATGAGGGGCTGGGGAGATGGCTCAGTGGAATAAGAGCTTCCCTGGCAAGTGCAAGGGCCTGAGTTCAATCCCTGGTTCCACCAAAAATAAATAAATAAATAAAAATATAAAAATGAGACTTAGTTATGCTCTTTCGTTTACTCTTTGTTTTGTTTATCATAGGAGTGAGCAATAGATTCATTCACCCATTCATTTTGAAGTGCTAGGGACTGAATGTAGGGTCTTGAACATGCTTTATACACTGCCACTGAGGCCACTCTCAGCTCTTGGCTTTATTATTTTATTTTTATTTGTTTCTGGCTTTTTGAGACAAAGTCTCACTATATAGCCCAGACTACTTCATGGTGATTCTCCTGCCTCAGCTCCAAATGCTGGGATTATAGGCGTGTTCCACCATGCTGGCTTTATACTTTTAAAACAAATTATGCTATTTCCTTAACTTTCCTGATTTCTCTATAGTGTACAGAGAAAAAGGAGAGTGGGTCCAGAGCTGGAGAGGGCAAGCATGGTTACTTTTCTGTTTTATTTTTGATGGTTTGATCTTAGGGGGAAAGAGCTGGGTATAGACTGGTACTTTCCCCAGCATGCTACTGTGTCCAGGTAGAGGGAAACTGAGATACAAAAATCTAGCCTGTGAGTGGCTAGGAGCTAGTAAAATAAATGTTACATAGTTTATCTGCAATCTAAAATAATGTAGAAATAAAAAATGCTAACAATCACCAAGAACTAATTCTCTGGGAATACTTGGGAATCCCTCAGGACAGAGAGGAGTGGGGGGGGGTAAGTTAATAAAACACAATAACGAAAAACAAGTCTTACTAGAAAGCACTAAGCATTAGCGACTTAGAAAAAAGAGAACATGAATACCTCAAAGAGAGAATTCAAAATTATGTCATAAATAATCAAAACACCAAATGATGCTCCATGATTTTGGAAGAGCATCATAGACACAGATTTTCATGATTTCAAAAACCTAGACTGAAACTCCAAGTGGAGATATTAAGTAAAATTATTTGTTTGGTGACTGAGATTATGCACAGTACGGGGCTAGAGGAATAGTTCAATATAGAGTGCCTGCCTATCAATGTGCAAGGCTTTGGGCTTAATTTTCCCTTCAGGATTGAAGGGGAAAAAAACAAAACTAAATGGATGTGCCATGGATAGGGAGGGCTTATAACATATGTAGTAAGAATGCTTGACTAATTGAAAAATTAAATAATATTAACTGAATCATGAGCATTGACATTTAGAGCTAAGTACAGACATGCCTGAATCAGAGTAGAATGGGTAAGGGATTTAGGAGATGTTATTCAAAAGGTACAAACTTCTAGTTCTAAGAAAAGTTCTGGGGGGCCTGGGGAGACAGCTTGGCGGTCTAAGCTCCTGCCTGGCAAGAGCAAGAACCTGGCTTGATCCCCAGTACTGCATGCCGTGCTGACCCCAGAAATGGTTCTGGGTGTGCCGTGCTGGCCCCTGAAATGAGGCAGAGTGGCACACACCTGTAATCCCAGTGCTGGGGAAGCTGAGACTGGAGGATCACTATGGGTTTAAGCTGCGTAGTGAGACCCTGTACCAAATAAATAAATAAATGATTAAAAAAAGTTCTGGGGAACTAACGGTAATCTGCAACGGTAACTTTGTGGTGACAAATGTGTTATATGACTGTGGACATCATTATGCTATGTATGTATCAACTCATACTGTATACTCCGAATATAAAAAATCGTTAATTATATCTCAATATAGCTGCAAAGAAATGAATCAAAACTTGTAATAGTCAGAGTTTCATACAAGAAATCAAATCTACTTTGACCATTATTTTCCCTCTGGCCAAATATGAATTCCCTTCTATGCATGTATACTGTCTTAATCAACAACCTAAGAAACACTGAATTTCAAGATTCCCCACTTATCACTGCCTAGTGTGATGATTTTCCCACAAAACAAAATCACTAAACTTAAGTTTATTCTGAAAATGATAACACCAGTTGCTACCAGAGAGGTGGACACAGTTCAAAAAAAAAAAAATTTTTTTTTTTCTTTTTTTGCGGTACTGGGGATTGAACTCAGGACACTGCGCTTCCCAGGCAAGTGTTTATTCTACTGAGCTATCTCCCCAGCCCATAGTTCAAAATATTTGAATGGATAGGTTCAAGTGGCTTCAAAGCCATGTTCTATTATAAAAGACACTGTCACACATGGTACCAACCTGTGAAATGTTCAGTAAATTCCTGTTCCAGTTTCATGGCTCTCTCAAATGTTTTCCTAGCTTGTTCTTCTGTTAGCCGCTTATTCATTTCCCTATGCAAATAAATTCAGAAACTGATATTAACCAATTATAATATCTATTTATTTGTACTTTAGGGAAGGGTCTACAGGGTGTTCAGGGTCTTGCTACTAGATCAGACTTGGAATGATCCACCTGTTTATAGCCTCCCAAGAGCTGGCATTACAGGCTTGCACCATCACGCCCAGTCTCAACTGCCTTCTCAGTGCGCCTAGGGGGCGGGGCTGGCATGGCAGGCCTGGGGATCAAATCCCTGGCCCTTGTGCCTGCTTGCAGGTGCTTTAATCCACTGAGCTTGGCTGGCCCTCTATAATATTTTTTTAAAAAATGGAAGACATAAAATGTAAAATCATAAAGAATTGAACTCTGGAGAACATGAATGTCATTATGAACAGATTTAGCCACTCAGTATGTGCCTTATATCTGAAACAACAACAACAAAAAGTTCTCTCAAATGGAGCAAAGTAGACCCCAAATCCCCTAAGGATTAATTTATAAGTCTTGACTAATGAAAACCTCTTGAGATTTACCTACTAATTTAGAGAAAAGGGCATATGTGAGTGCTGTTAACACTATGAAAAGATTATTAGAAAATACAGACAGAGGAAAATGCTACAAAAGAAATGACCTGGTTTCTTCACAAAGTAATCATGAAAACAAAAACAAAAGCAAACAAAAAAAGCTCCAAAGTAATTGTGGTGAAGGGTAGGGAGAATGAAGATGGAAAATCCGTAGATTAAAAAACTTAATGAACCGTCATGAACAAACCTTATCTGGACTTTGTGAAATGAATACATTAAAAAACCAAAACCCAGTTGGGTGTGGTGGTGGTGCATGCTCAGAATCCCAGGGCTCAGGAGGCTGAGGCAGATGATACAGAGTTCAGGCAGCCTGGGCTACAAAGTGAGTTCAGGGTCAGCCAGAACTGTCTCGTGAAATCTTGTCTCAAAACCACAAACTTATGAAATAAGCAGAAAACCTTGATTACTTGATGGTATCAAATCATTTCATGTAGGGGAATGACAGCAGTGGTATTTTAAAATAAATACCACTCAAATATGCTTTAAATATATGGATGAAATGGTATGTTCAGATTGGTTTCAAAATAATCTGGAGTGGTGGAATAAGGACATGGAAAATAGATTAAACAAGAATATAAATTGGTAAAGTTTGTAGCTGGTAAGGGGTACATAAAGGTTCGTTCCTAATCAGTGAGGGAAAACTTTCCATATCTCATCAAGTATGATGTTTTCTTTTGTATAGTTACTATCTAACGTTCTATCATCCTGCAGCATTCCCTTGAGCATTTCTTGTAGGGTGGGTCTAGTGCCAATGAATTTCTTCAGTTTTTTCTGTGATTAAGATCAACTTGATTTCTCCCTCATTTCTGAAGAATAGTTTCACCAGTTTTTCTTTAGTGTTTTTAACATACTAACCAACTGCCTTCTAATTTCCAGTTTCTGATGACAATTCTTCTGATAACTTTATCAGGAAAATCTTGTATATATGAACCACTGATTGCTGCTTTCAAGAGTCTTTGTTTTCCAACTGTTTCCTTATAATACGCCATAGGGAGGATCTTTGAGTTTATTATGCTTAAAAGTTTATCATTAACTTTTTGGATGTTTGCATTTATACCTAACAAAATCGGGAGAATTTGACCATTTTTGAGATTAATTTTTCAAATAATCTCTGTCTCTTCTTGTTCACTACTAGGATCCCACAAAGCATATGTTAGTCTAGTTAGTGGAGTTTCACAGTTCGCTTAAGTTCTGTTCACTTTTCTTCAATGTTTGTTTCCTTTTATTCCTGATACTTGGTAATTTTTATTGGGCTTTTTTTTTTGAGACACTGTCTTGCTGTCTAGAGCATGCTGTACTGAACTCATGGCTATCCTGCCTCAGCTTCACGAGGGCTACAGGCATGAACTGCCACACCCAACTCCACTGTCCCATCTTTATTTTTTAAAATTATTTTCTTAATCTTTTATTTATTTATTTGGTACAGCATCTCACTACCCAGTTTATTTTATTTTTTTTAAATTTTATTTGTGTGCGTGTGTGTGTGTGGCCAGCTCAGCCCACCAGGGGGCGGGGCTGGCTGGCATATGGTGCTGGGGGATTGAACCGCGGTCCCTGTGCTTTGCTGAGCTTGTTCTAAGTAGGTGCTTTAGATCACTGAGCCATCTCACCAGCCCTCACTACCCAGTTTACACTCGGAGTGATCCTCCTGTGTTAGCCTCCCCAAAGCTGGGATTACAGGTGTACAATACTATGCCTGGTATTGGTGGCCGGCGCGGCAGCATGGCATGCAGTATTGGGGACCAAACTTGGGTCCTTGTTCTTGCTAGGCAGACCACTGAGCTATCTCCATGGCCCCATCTGGTTTTTCTTAGAAAAAAAAAAAAAGCACAGTATTTCTGTGTTGAGGATTGGCCTGAGGTGTAAACTTATGGTTTTCTCAGGCATTTTCTGTGACTGTCTTTCCTTAATAACATATAATGACTCTATAGCTCTGCCCTGTATAAGTGGTTACTTCTGAATGTCCTGGACTGGCCATCAAAAGGAAGAAAAGATGCTGATCCTTTAAATCCTTGGAAGTTCCTTCATCCTTAGGGCAGGAACGGGCAGTGATAGCTCACTGCCTGGGTCTGTGTACCTCCATGATCAGAAGCTGCAATCTACTTTCACACCACAGATCCCTGGCCTTTAGAGACCAGGATTCTGCTGCCTATTCTAGGTCACACAGGCTGTATGTGAGGCGCAAGGAATATAGGTATGGCTGCCGGCTACAGGGATGAGGAGCTGCTACTCCACTAGGAACTGAAGGGAAGCTGCAAGCTTTCAGAAGACCTCAGAGTTTCAAAACAATTATCAGACATATGCTGCCATACGATCTGTAGAGATGGATATCTGGTGCTATTCTCTGGAGATCCTCTCTTGTGATGCATACAATCTCTTTTATTATTTTCTCTTTAGCCCCACCACTTCTTTACTTTGTGGTGTAAGGGACTGAACCCAGGGGCCTTGGTACATGCTAAACTGCTCTTCCATAAACTTAAAGCCTTGGCTCTGTAAGAAAGCTTTAAATTTGTATAGCTCCGTATCTTTTATTTCTTAATGTGATTATTTTCTGACAGGTGTGTTAGATTTCCCCAGTGACTTTGGAATTATCTTTGTTCCCCTAAATAGTTGTCAATTTGTGCTTTACTATTTTGAGACTGCGCTATCCAGTACAGATGGCTTATTCTACTGAGCCATCACCCCCACCCCGCTATGCAGTACAAAGAATTGCATATATGTATTTTCTTGATAGAGTATATCCTTCATTTTTAATCTCTGGCTCCCCCCCCCCCCGGGTTCTTTTTTCTGTGCTGGGGCTCAAATTTGAGTGCAAGAGGCAAGTGTATGGGCTGGTAAGACAGCTTAGCTGTCTAAAGCGCCTCCTTAAGCAAGCTTAGGCAAAGCGCAGGGACTGAGGTTCCATCCTCGGCACCATATGCCATGCCAGCCCCACAAAATAAAGCCGGCCACAAGAGAGAGAGAGAGAGAGAGAGAGAGAGAGAGAGAGAGAGAGAGAGAGAGAGAGAGAGAGAGAGCGAGCGAGCGCTGGCGGGATGGCTCAGTGGTCTGGAGCGCCTACTTGGAACAAGCTTGGCGAAGCACAGGGACCGCGGTTCAATCCCCCAGCACCACATGCCAGCCAGCCCCACCCCCTGGTGAGCTGAGCTGGCCACACACACACACACACACACACACACACACACAAATAAAATGTTTAAAAAAAAAAAAAAAAAGAGAAAGAGAGAAAGCAAGAGCAAGAGCAAGAGCGACTGACAGACAGAGATCGAGACCAAGACAGAGACAGGACAGACGGAGGGAGGGAGGGAGGAGCACGCAAGTGCCTTACCATCAAGCTAGAGTCTAGCTCTATATCCTTCTTTATTTTTATTAAATATACTGTACCTCTTTAGTATTACTTTTCATTTTAATGTATACTTTGACAGTAATGAAAAACTAGTCTACTTTTGTTTAATGTTTGTGTGGTATATCTTTAGGTATTCTTTTTTTTTTTTTTTTTGGAACCAGGGATTGAACTCAGGCCCTTACTGAGCCATCTCCCCGGCCCCTTTAGGTATTCTTTTATTTTCAACTGTTCCATAGCCTAAAATTAAAAAAGTACCTCAAGAACACAACATAATTGTGTTTTTACTTTATCTTCTCTGACAAATTTTGCTTTTTAATTAGAACATTTAATCTAGCATTTACACTGTCAATAAACAGAAAACAGTTTACTTACTGAAATATTTGGGTTCACTTATACCCTCCCTCTTGTCTATACTGTTTGGAACCTATCTGATTTTTTCATATTTTATTTTTTTTTTTGCGGAACCAGGGAGTGAACTCAAGCCCTTGCAATTGCCAGGAAAGCGCTTATTCTACTGAGCTGTCTCCCCGGCCCTTTTAATTTTTGTTTAAATTTTATTTTTGCCCTCTATTATGCACCAGTACATTTTTTATTCTTTTAATGGTTCTAAAAGCTTCACTACCCAAATTCAGTGGTCACTTAGCTACAGGTGGCTACTTAAAATTCTAATAAATGTACCTTATATTTTAGCAATATCAATGCTAATAGTCACAATTATGGTTAACATCATAGGGTGTGTACTTAATCCTCACCCACTGGTACGTATACCCTATAAGGTAAATGTACATACTACTCTTCTCTCCATTTTATAGCTAAGATGTAAATAAATTTTTCAATGCATACAGTAACTACTAAATAACTATAATTATTCAAATTATACAGTAACTAGATTTGTGCTTAGAGATTACATATTAGGCATTTATACTTACATGATATTTTCCATGGATTTGGGCTTGATAAAAATTGATATTGGATACAGTTGTGCAATTTGTAATCTCTTTATGGCATTTCCGGACACATCAAGGATACAGTGTTTACCCTAAAATAGAAAAACAAGTGAATCAAGTCTTTTCATCTATATCAAAGGCACATTTCCTATAGGTACAAGATCTAGATTAAGATATATTTGGATCCTTTTCACTTTAGACAAATTATTTCTACTGGCAAACTACAGAGGGAAAAATCAAATAAAACTATGATAATGACTATGAATAATCAATCTGTGATTCTCAAATAATTATTACATTTAAAAAATGAACAAAAATACAGTATAAGACTTCTGGTAGTTATAGACTAGTAATTTCTCAAAATGGTGACCAATATAGGGTTCCTTCCTTTAATTTTGTTGGAAGAGGGCATTAGTAGAAAGATTCCAAATTATCATCTTCCCATAACCATAATTGCATAAAAGAATATATGATCAATAGAGGACAAAGAATCCTAGAATAATGATAAAGATAAATTGAGGAAATAAGGGCCAGCAAGATGGCTCAGCAGACTACATGCCTGTTTAGGCAAGTACAGGGACCAAGGTTGCGATCACAGGTACCACATACAATGCGGGTCCCACTCTGGGGTGACCTGAGCAGGCAACTGAGACCAGCGTGGTGGCACATGCCTAAAATCCCAGCACTGGGGAGGATGAAAACAGTAGCATCACTACAAGTCCAAGCTGTGTAGTGAGACCCTGTATCAAATACATGAAAAAAAGGAGCAAAATCTCACTACTATTCTGTCATTTTTCATTTTATGGGAATTGCCTGAACTCCGATTTTATTTTTAATGCATTTAGTATAGGGTCTCCAGGGTCTCACTACACAGATCTAACTCTTTTCAGCCTCCCAAGGGCTGGGATTACAGGCATGCGCCACCACACCCAGTCTCAGTTGTTGTCTCAGCGTGCCCCGGGGGCAGGGCTGGCATAGCATACTGGGGATCGAACCCTGATCCTTTTGTCTGCCTAAGCAGGCGCTTTAATCCACTGAGCTATCTGGCCAGCCCCTGAACCCTAATTTTTAAATGACAACTTTTCTGACATGTTTATTTTTTTTTTTTAAAGTTTTATTTATTTATTTGTGTGTATGTGTGTGTGTGTGGCCAGCCCAGCCCACCAGGGGACGGGGCTAGCTGGCATGTGGTGCTGGGGGATTGAACCGTGGTCCCTGTGCTTTGCTAAGCTTGTTCTAAGTAGGTGCTTTAGACCACTGAGCCATCTCACCAGCCCCATCTGACATGTTTAAATTCACTGGCAAAGATCATTTTGCATTTTTAAAATGAACATTCTCATGTTAAACAGGGTGGTAGTAAGTCCTTGACTTCTGAACACTTGAGATGCAGCTGTAAATTTTCACAAGTACACTGTGTCAGACTCACAGGCTTTGTTAGATATGAACAAATCCAACTTACCAGTGTTCTAGCATGGGACTTGTTCATAATTTAGGGACTGTGTATTTTATTTCTTTTTTTGACAGTCTATGTACCCCAGGCTGGCAGTGGAACTCATAGTCCTGACCCTGCCTCCCACTTGCTGGGATGTGAGGTGTGTATCATCATGCTTAACTGATTTATCAGACTTTATTATAACATTTTAAACAAGGTCCTCCCTCATAAAGCATATTCTAAGTAAAAGGTTTGGGTGGTCATTTCAACTTAGCAGGTACACTGAAAATAAAAAAATTAACTTAAGCACTGTAAACATAGAAAAGTAAAAAACAAATTTTATCTATCACTTATTTTAATTACTGCTTACAAATAAAAACTACAATATTAAGATTCTATCACATTTGCTGTTTTCTCAACATATGCACATAATAGTTAGAAAGTAAACTGCAGATAATGTTCTTTTAATCCATGCTTCCTTTGCTTTTTAAAAAGATAATAAATAGGGGCTGGGGAGATAGCTCAGTGGAATAAGCGCTTGCCTGGCAAGTGCAAGGGCCTGAGTTCAATCCCCGGTTCCACAAATAAAAAAAAAAAGAAATTAAAAAAAAAAAGAAAAAGAAAAAAAATTTCCATTAGAAATGATACAGAATTTCACTAAATAGGAATTCAACAATAGTTGTTACATTGCATAATGTTATCTTCAAATCAGTTGTTTAGATTACCAGATATAAGCATACAAAACTGGCCAAAAAAAAAGTAAGGATTTAAAAAGGAGAAGAAAAAAATTAAGCATTACCCAGTATTTCTGACAACAGTGGCAGTTCACATTTAATCACAATATAACTCTAAATGTCATCTAATAATGTCCTTTACTGTAAGAAGATAAAACTTCTGTGGTCTCGGATGCAGTTCAGGATCACCCACTACACTCAGGTATAGTATCCCTTTACTCTTGATCAAGCTGGCACCATTGCTCAGTCATTGCCCTTTTCTGACCGCTACATTTTTGTAGAGAACATTTATGCGACAGTAGGCCGCAGCGGGTCAGCCTGCTCTCCACCAGCAGCTGTGTGCTGCAGCTCTTGTCAGAGGCTCTCAGAAATGATGCTGTGTCCTCAGTCCACTTGATCAGGGAGACACATGGTACCTGTTTGCTCTGTTTCTGTGGTGTTCACTTGTTTAAGGTTCTGTCTGTCTTTCCACTGTAAGTGAAATTCTATTTTTGTCTCTGAATGGGTGCATACTTTGGGGGAAGATATTTTGAGAGTATGTAAAACTCTTATCAAAATTTAACTCAGTATTAGCATGGCTAATGATTCTTCTTGGAAACAATTACTATGGTTTTTAAAGAGAGATTTCCTATTTTCATCATTTCTTTTGATTTTTGATTAGTATATATTCTAATGGAAAGTAAAGCTTCCCATTCTGCCCGTGTATTCATGTATTTGCTTATGTAATTATAGACTGCTAGATTCTTATTTTATTGTGTCAGAATTGGTTATTAATATGATTTTGATATTCAAGTATTAACAGTTTTTTTTCAAACATGTATTTAGGACAGGGTCTATAGGGTTTGCAGGATCTCACTATGTAGATCAGACTTGGAGAAATTGTTTTCAGCCTCCCATGCGCTGGGATTACAGGCACATTCCACCAAACCCAGTGTCAATCACCCAGTCTCAATCACTGTCTCAGTGTGCCCGGGGGGCGAGGCCAGCACGGCATGCAGGGGACTGCACCCTGGCTGCCGTGTCTGCCTAAGCAGGCACTTTAATCTGCTGAGTTATCTGGCCAGCCCATGCCTTTTCTTTTTTTTTTTT